CAACCCATGCTATTTGGTCACTGCTCAGAAAAATATGTCAGGCTGTCTCAATAGTACAAACGGAGAGCAAACGAATCATAATCCATTAGGTCAAGGACATTGCCGAAGTATACAAGCGCATACAAGCGCAAACCTCCGAATGAAACTGTCAAAATCAATGGGAAAACTGGATCTCCTGATGAAGAACAGTGGGTTAAGCCATGGATTGTGACAAACTCTACCTAGGACAAGCGAAAAATGTCTTGAGAGTATATGAAAACAAGCATGGTGCTACAATAAACGACCAGTGTGAATATATTTCCATGCACCAAGTTCAGAAAGCTCACGAGTTCCACGGCTCTCACACACTAGCTCAAGCAAGAACAATGAACAGCTATGAGCGTATTCCATCCATAAGCAACAAACATTAAAGGTGACCCAATCTATCGAACACCGAATGTGAAGGGATTAGATAACTAAAGGCTTAAAATTGCACAGGAAACCGAATGAGCAGCTCAGTTCAATCGTAACATACACAGAAAAATACCAAATTGAGGGATTCCCATAACCGATCAAATGCAAGGATACCCGCTCTAATGAAGAGAACAGGAAACCGCAACCAATCAATTAATCCGGAGAATATATGCCACAACTAAATAAAATGGCAACGAACTGATCAGTACGATAATAGGAAACTATCCAAAAACTTTACCGGATGAACAAACCAAGTGAAAGGAAGATATAATACAACGCGGTAGGGGCAGTGATCCGACCAATCAGAAGAACGGCGAAATCTCCCTGAACCAAATTGCCCAACGAGCCCATCGAGTGCGAGTTTCCCAAACGACAACGCACCGCGGATCATGAATGGACCACTGCACGTTTGAGGAAGCTCTCCCTAATATCAGGAAATAGCAGATGCCTTTCAGGTGTATAAAGGCGCAACTGTAGTTATGAAGTTCCCACTTAACCGCGAGCAGATCGTGTTCACTTTTGGTTGAGAAACGCTGCAGGCTAACTATCCAGACGATGAACAGTTCAATTGCGCGAACGGTTCAAAATGGCCGTGGTCAAGACCTGTGGACAGATTCGAAAACTTGAAAATTTTATTGGCTGAACTGGACAAAGACAAGCACTGAACCCGACCGATTATACTTTTAAGTGAATTTAGCGATCAACCAAACGATGACTTGTTTTGACGTAGAATTGAATAATTAGTTGTTGGACCTTTCTGACTGTCCGCGTGCTTGTATGTTATCAACCAATTTTGGTGTTCATAGGCGTTTTCAAATTCGTGTTGTCCGGTAGAACGGACCGGAAACAATTTTGAGTCGAAAACAAGCACAATCGTAATCGGCAGGTGATTCCTACTCGCGGATAACTTCTACTAGCCCATCCTGTCACTTTGGTACAGCGCTGGATGCATAAACATTTGTATTTTACCAGAGTTTGGTCTGCCGTACAAATCGAGACTCCATCGGCGTTAAGAACCACCGGTATCACGCAAATCACGAATTTCCTCATCACTCACCGGATGAACATATTTCTACGGTGATTGGAAGTCTGTCTTCCATTAGGATTAACCGTGACTTTCGAAATGAATAGTTCATCTTCGGTGTGATGGAACACGAAACCCTTCACAGTATCAGCGTGTTAACTCTTGCATCAGTTTCCCACAGATGACGAAAAACGGTTTTCCAAACTATTGGTGTGGTGTTAGTTTCTGCTTCCCATACGGTGACCGCAGCTGGTTTACGTAATGAGATAGTTCCAACGCAACACATTCTGCATCAAAACGGGCTGTGTTTCAGAACGTGCATAACTTCGAACTGTGCCACACATCGTTACATGAGAATGTTATAACTGTTCGTAGCATATGTAGCATACTGCATCAATAATTTAGCTGATTTACATGGTTGATAGTTTTCTGTTACAGAGTTGTGGCGATGCTGTACTTTAAGATGTATCGAGCGAGCTAGCTATCCGAACCCGTGTACAAATTGTTGGTCACAGCGTGGAATAGTACCTGAATGCTATACTGTCATTCCTTTTTCAAAGCAGCCACCAATCCAGCTTTGACCTTAATGACATGTGCATCATCGTATTTTGGTGTTCTAGAGCATCCACGACAAAACTGACTAGAAATTCCTACTGAAACGAGAACAACGAACTCTTTTGATGGGATAGAAGTCGGCTCTTGAAGAGGAGTCATGTGCGAAGGACTTCTGTCTCCATTTTTTAATGTGTCAATAAGTATTCCGTTGTGCTCACTTGCTCGGGCATAGAAGGTGCAATTCAACAGCAAAACGGCGCTCTTTTAAATCAGGTTTTCATGTTCCCTTTATTCCCGTGTATTTAGTTAGTCATGTTGTTGATGTATAACGGCGCAGTTTGTTCAGTGATTTCCAAGGTAGTCCCAGAAGAACGCCATTGAATCCGAAGCTGTCCGAGCGCAATCAAATTTCCCGGTTTGACGAGATAAGATGTGCGCACTTTGAAAACGTACCTAGTTGCTTCGCCAATTCAAGAAAGACTTTTCATTAATAACCTACTAATGCTTCATAACCAACCATGAGCACACATTGTCAATAGAGTACATTTGAAAAAGGACAAGATTTTGGCCGGTCGCGTCAGTGCAAGTGTGAGTTCGACGCTTAGTATGCTGACTAAATAAGGAAGATTGTGGTCAAGAGGAGTTATTATGACTGAAACACAGGTAGAAAAAGGGTTGGGAAATAGAATGAAACGATGGAACGATGAACAACAACTGTCTTGTCTGGATTCATCTGAAAGTGCTGAACTAGTCAATCTGCAGTTTGTGAGTTCAAGATCACTGTTAGAAATCTAGGTATACTGGCACACTGTATCTACAATGTTGTGAACATCTATGGAACATCTGTGATTGCTCTGGTGCAGAAAACTAGTGGCGAAATCAATGAGTCCCGTAAATTCCAGTCACAATTGAGACCGAGTGGTTCGTAAAGGTTTGTCTGTGGTGTTCAAAAAACGTTTTTTGAGTATTCTTTCAGCGAGTGGGCTGTCCTACATTTTTTCCGCAACCATCGTTTTCTTTTTGGATGGGCGAGATTGCCCAAGTGGTTAGAGCGCGAATTTATTGACCGGAGGGTCCGTAGTTCGGACCCGACCTCTGCCTCTCGACTTCCCCTGTCTAGGCTTGGGCAACCAGTATCCCAGCCCTCGTGCTTCCTTCGCGTGGAATGGTAGCTAGGCACCAAAAGGGTGTTACAGCTGAACGATTTTTTCGAATATCTTTATCTAGGTTCGTGTGATGAATACATTTCCAAGTCCTATGTTTGTTCTGTGTGCGATTAATCGTCCACTGACCAGAATTAGTTCTATTGTGATCTCTAGTTGTTTTGTAGTTGTGTTTGCAACGTTCTCTCGTTTCAGATTTTGTGAGCTTTCGATGACAGCTTCATTACTTAGACCAATGAGGTACTCATGTATGTACTACGCTCGCCATGTGACTAGCCTAGTACTGTCTGAGATTGCGGGACCATTTGGGAGATTTAATCATTTTTGCGTTTGGAGCAAGAAAGATGGTAATTCAGCTTATGAATCCACCAATTTTTTTCGAATTCTTCAGGGAAGAATTTGTCACGTGTTTCTCTAATTTGCTGTTAGCTGACCACGTGCCCACCAGGTATGTGGACGTGACGGGGATTGTAGGCTGATCTTCTAATTGCATGCTAACGAAAGGCTTAATCTGATTTCAGCTGAATTTCTGTTTTGTGATAGTTTTAGACTTAATGGGCCGAATGAAGTCCCTCTAACGGGTAAAAGGGGAAGATGGTAGATAAATCAATGTATTCATCTGACGCATCACTACTAACAAAGCTCATCAAGTAGTCGCCTAGTTTCGATCAAATATAATTTCCTACCCTTGCGTGTTGAATGGCTTTTCTGCTGGGGTATCAGGCGGTTTTTATACAGCAACCAAATCTAACTGGAGATTTTGATTCACCAGAGATTCCTACAAGTTTCAGTTGAGCCTCCCATGAACACCAAATCAATTTGTAGATTATTGTGTTCACGTAGAACATAATGTTTATGGAAATTCGGGAATTGCAACTACACTATGGAGCCTATATGGTGAAACTCGACCTAGACTGTCAATTAGTTCTCAGGAAGACTATGGGTGGTGTTGTGTTGAGGGATTATGTTCCCTCATCCTTTTTCTGATATTACTGAGTTGCACGCAAGACAAGCATATAACTATGTGAATTCAAGGAAACCAAATGCAAAAGCGCATCTTTCTTACTGAGTTGCATAGAGTTACGAATATTAAACACATAAAAGAATCTGACCTTATGATGCGTGTTTTTTGAATTTGGCACATCATTGTGGAGGCTGGTCGTCTTTTGAAAATATCCCACTTTTCCTTGAAAAACTATTTCGCGGACTCAATATTTTCAAAGTTTTCAGGTCAAATCAGCTGCCCGGGGCGATATTTCAGTGTCGCCTGCCAAACTGCGCGTCACGACAGCTTCTAAAAAGCTTTTCATTCATTCATCCATTCACTCAGTCATTCATTTTGTTCGTCAATTCTTTTCAGTTCGACTGTTGCTTCTACAAGCAACACACAGATCCACTCACCAAACAAAACGAAATATATTCGAACCCCACTAGCAAACGAGACCGCTAGCAGTATTCATTCTTGTACATTCATCCACATTGAGATATCACGTACGAACTGACACAAGATCCTTTTTGTCAAATCGCTGTGGAAACAGCTCGGAAATGAAAAATAGGTTGTTTTGCTGCCGTTAGACGACAAGCGTAGATTCTTCTTTCAAAGCGTTCTGTGTAGTGAATTAATGTCATTGGGAATTTTCATGAACGAATACTATTGTTCACAAAAATGGGAGCATTTGCAAGAGTTTGAGGACTCATTCTGACTAAAATTAATGGTTAGAAAACGCGTTTCGAAATTATGTAATTGAACTGCTTGCAAAGTTTGTTTAACTAGAAACTGCAAAATTTTGTTCACTTTTTCCCAGAGGGTGTGATGGAAGTAACGAAGAATGATCAGCTACTTCCAGAGGGTGGATGGAAGTAACGAAGAATGATCAGCTACTTGGCCGAATGGACGTAGGTCGAGCGTTTGGTGAACTGGCTCTGTTGTACAATTGTAACCGAACTGCGTCCGTTCGAGGTGAGTTACCATACCTAACACCAAATCATACCAGTAGACGCAAAACTGTTCTAATCCATGTGGTGGCCATTTAATTCGACTTATCAACCGGCGGCCCGATCAGTAAACAGCTTTGTCAAACTGTTTACGCTCAATTTCGCTACAATTAGTAAGGTTTTACTGGCAAAAATCCAGTGGTAAATACACTGGACGCCTGCGCATAACGGATAGCTATAAGTGGTTCACACTGGGCCGAATAGGGCATTGCGTCGATGTAAACCAGGAAAAATACGGTCGGCAGATGAACTTTCAAAGGCTTGTTGAAAACCTTCAACCGTCCTTACGTGGTCTATTCTGCTAGAGTAATACAACAGACCGACCATGTGTAGCTTCATCTGTTTTCGCGTGAGTGGTCCGTGACACGCTTGCCGTCAGAACATATGAAAATCCATTGCGCTGCTTTTGCATCCTGGTGTCTGTAACATTCAGGATGATTTTCGTTGAATATTGAGTGATGGTCTGTAAAAATACACAAAATATTGAGGCAAATCCAACAGGACCACAGTTTACGGAACTCTCTTGGACAATTTGTACGAAGGGACCCGCTAAACTACAGGTCTATGTGATTCCGAAACTTGTCTGATAGTAAGAAGGAGACAGCGTTAATTTCTAGCTTCATGAACCTCAGGTGGACGAATTGGTTTCATGGAATGATAACTTTTCAGGATAACATCACCCCTTAATCTTTTCGGAAACAATATTTAGTATTCGGTTTTGCCGCCTAATCGATTGTAATCCAGTTCTGTGAAGAACAACATGCAATAGCAAACAATAAGGATGGGAAAGCACTGTTCAGTCCTTTTGATTATGACCCTGGGAAAAGGATATCTCTGCTGAGAGGAACACGGACACACCCACAAAGTGCACCAGCCGGTTTAGTCGACTTCAGCTACTTCTACCTTTTCAAATGACGTTGATAGATTGTACTGAAGTGAATGTCCGCCCTGAATTCTAACTTTCCTACATGGATATCTGTGGATGCCAATGCCGAAAAAATTCACACTACCCTCTGTCATACGGGGAATTTACATGACATTTGCGTTTAGCAATACGGTGCAATTGTCTATAACTGAAAGTTTTCCTACACTTTATCGATCCCCTTATTCAGCCGTTACACAAGCCTCAGCATGGACACTGGATCGTCACGTGTTTCAGCAAATTATGATGTCGTCTTGTCTCCACAGACATGAGGAAAACTTCAGCTTCCTTCAAAGGTGAGTCCATATATCAGACACTTCTTTGTCAGAATCACCACAGTGCCCCACTTATGTCACTTCATTCGACTTCCGTTCAATTCAAAACCCAGACCAATACAAGATTAATTATCCTGTGTACGGAAAACAAATGTAGGAGCAACCACGGTTTCACGTTTCAGGAGAAAGATTATTATGATCTATTTTACCAGTCAGGGTGTTTAAGTAAACGGCCAAGCTTGTGTGAACGCTTAAATCGATAATTTAAATTTCGGTTGGAAGAAGATGATTTCGCAGCTTTGGTTCAACCTTCCTGCTGAAAAATCTCTGGCTCCGTTGGTGTGAACTCAAGTGACTCTAAGGTTTCTCTCAACTGAAGTCATCCTTTCCCAAAAGCCTTATGGGCACTTTACAGCGGTTTCAGGATTGTCTGGGGACTTGATTCTTAGAAGCGATTTGAATCTTCCACTGTTCAGTTAATGATCAAAACATGAGTATGGTAACTACACCCGGAAAGAATCTGACACCACCATCTTTTTATCAGACAGCTCACGTTAGGTGATCCATTTTTTTACCCACGCTGTGATCCGTCAGCAGTGTAAACCCTGAATGATCCACAATTTGTAAAAGTGTTTGACAGTTACCGATTTACTTCAAGGGATTTGGTCAGTAACCTCACTAACCGCGATATGATGCCAAATATCCACAGATTCGAGTAGCATTTTCAATGTGCTTTCCTACAGCAAAGATAACTAAGTGTTATTGAAATCGACAGATTATGAACACTCCCTGACGAGAAACCTTCTGCGATTGACTGCAAAAGTTGCAGATTCGAGTCCTCTTTGGGATTTTGGATGTTCGATCCAATATATGGCTGCGCACACTCTTTGTACACAAGCTTATACATATGTTAAGCCCTGTAAGACCCGAAAACAGTGAATGAAACAGTTTTTTATGCCATTATATACCTATTGCTAGTCTGGTCCGGAAGTCACCACCACCACGATTTGATAAATTGTTGTGCTTTCTGACTGCACAAATGACCTAGCAGTCCAGATAATATCGTAAGACGTCTTTTAGTCTTGAACCGACCCATCTTGCAGAAAGAATTGCAAGCTTTTTAGTCCACCCCGCACATTTTAATCCCACAAGCGAAAAGAAATATTATACTTCCATTATACAAAGTTAGGGCAGGGATCTCTGAAGCTTCGTTTTATTCTTAAGGATAGACGAAACTAGTCCCTATACCCACTGCTATTAACCTCTCGAAGCCTGCTGTGGTTTGCATTTTTGGTTGACATTCGTTTGTGGGTTGACCCGATATATCGAACCACGCTGATGGACCCTTCTCACAATAGGTACGGCCACATGCGGTTCGCGCTGAGCCACTTGCGAGATGAACTGAACTCTGTGTATCCAATTTATACGTGGAAGAAAAGCTTGGAGGGAGTAGGAAGCGACAGTTCGAGAGTCATCAGCTGTGTCCCGTAATTGTCAAATCTCCTCAAAGGCTTGAGAAACACAGTCTTCGCTAAGTGTGGTCGGATAGTTCGCTGTACTCCTACCAAGAGTGGAAAACCTCGCTACTCTTAGTCAACAATTGCTTTGGTCTGCATTGCACTGTTGTAGGCGGAATACTCCTGAATGTCCAGAGTGTTGGGGCACGTTATTTGGGGATGCATACATGAAAAGCAACTGATTAACTTACAATAATGTATTAACCAATCCAATACAGTATGCCAGTACAGGTAAAATAGACTCAGAACAATACGATGCAACACAATGCGCAGCAACGAGAACGAACAGGAAGTTCGATAATCTAAAACAGCTCCTATGGACTAGTGCTTGGTTTGCATACACTGAAAGGCAGCGTGTGACCACCACATATTTATGAATGTTTGCACGATAAGGAGCTTGCTTTGCAATAAACAAATTTGCAATAAACAAATGACTTGTTTGAATGGAATGTCGTAGTCGGAAATTGAGTTAGAATGATGCTTCGTTTGACACTCGCACACTAATTAACTCGTGTCAAAAAGGTATTTCGTGAACCACGGAATGTCTTCTATGGTGTTTCTGTCCATATTTGACAGATGAGTGTTTACGTGCGTAGAGCTACGCGTACTTTGTTCCTCTAAGTAAGCAGTGCAAGATGTATCCAGTTTCAGCATAGTAATGACAGATAGACAACTGATGAACATTAACCCCGAAAATAAAATGAAAATATTACAAAATTTTGGCGGTTATTCCTAATCAACGTCAGAAAATTGTGTTTTACGCAACTTGACCTTTGTTTTACTACATTCCGGTGTTTTCACGAACATGCCTCGCTTGTAAATAACTTGCCCGCATTTCGGACAGAGCAATTGAAATAATCAACAGGTGCTGCTGTCTTGTGTGAGCCAGTTCCCTGTTAACGGGGCAAAGCAAATTTTGTCTTTTCCTAAGTGTGGGCAAACTGATAAAGAACTGTATCTCCAGTCTATGGCTTCCAGACGAAAGTTCTACCGATTCGCTCATCTGTATTTATCGGTTCTCATAAAGCATAAATGAGAGTTCACTGACAGAGGGGGGGGGGCGAGACGGCCGAAGTGGTTAGAGCGCGAAATTGCCGATCAGACGGTCCGAGGTTCGAACCTGCCCTCTGCCTCTCGACTCCCCCTGTTTAGGCTTGGGCAACCTGGCAGTATCCCAGCTCTCGTGCAACCTTTGGGTGGCATGGCAGTTAGGCACCGGGTGTTACAGCTGAACGATTTTTTCGAATGTCTCTATCTAGGTTACTGACAGAGGGTCCGATTAACATAAACACCACCATAAACTTCAGCAATGCATTTCATCGTTTCATGAGAGTTGGTGTACCTGGCCATCATGGACATCCATTACAGAGACTATGGTAATCGTGTATAGACCTACTGAGCCATAGCGTAACGAAATATACGGAAGTTTGAAAATGCATGCAGAAAGTTGCATGAGCACCCATGACTAGTCACTCCGTGCACTTGTATGTTTGTTCGGAAGTTTGGAGGTGTCTCCTCGTGTCAACGGTTATTTTTTCGTCCCTTACGTCCACACCATAGTTTCCAGTCTAGTAGATAAGAAGAAAACTAGCGAAAAATTGGATTGGTGTTCTCAAAAGTCTCTCACTGTTCACAAGCATTTTCCAGAAGTCTTTGTTAGTTTATAACTTGAAGCGATTGAGAAGATGTATTTCATGTCATCCAACAAGAGATTGGGTAGTACCCTTAAGTTGTCTTGACAACACCTCCCAATGTGTGATACCCCACCGTCAATGAGGAAACCGGATCCAGCCGGTTACATGGTACAAATTGCAATGAATAAATTAGGCCTGCGTACCACGGTTCAAGTGAAGATCGTTGTGCTATTAAGAAAGTGGCCAAGTCGAAGAACCTAGTCAAGTCAACACTGTGTCAGCTCTCACCACTATACCACAAGTACTTGGTCTTAATACTGCTGCTGATGGGGACTTTCGCTCATATTTTCAGGCCGGCAGTGATGCCGGGATGGTGAAGGCACGTGTACAGGGCAAAACGGTTAAGTAGTGCTGAATTTTCTCACTCGCTTTCGCTTAAGATTCCATAATCCTCCTAAGATAAATCTAAGATTCATTGGATCCTGGTCCAAAATTGCTGCTGTTTAATACTGCGGAACAAGTCAGTCTACCAGCCAGTATACAAACCTAGTCGTTTTTCAACATCATTATCAGTTAAATTCTTGCGCGTGTTGTCATCCAATTTAAAAGAAACCTAACCGTATGGATAATAGTCTGTTTTGTACGTTCTTGAACCTACAAACTGCATCGGAGGGAAGGCGACAATTTACACGCTACATATATTCTGTAATTTTGATACTAGTTGCAGTAAAACAAAAGCCCATTCAACCTAGATTTGTTTTGTTCATAAGCTCATCAGTGCTCGGAATTTCGTTCGCCACATTTCATGATCACACTACTCACAGAGACCACCAAGCGCACGGGAGATGAAGTACCAAACTAAATAAGCCCATGAAACTGCAATCGAGCTGTCTTCTAGTCGTCCATTCGCTCCAAGGATATTAGGTGCTATCTAAAACCAAATTTAAGGATTAAAATACCTTATTTTGTCTGGATTTTGAGAGTCACGTGACTTTAGGAAATATTTGTTGCAACACAGTTTGTCCAAGCTGCAATGCATCGCTCGAAAATATCTACAATAAGGCTGGATTTGGTGAATAATTTCTATGTTGTCGACAAGCAAAGGATGTGATTGCTCAGACTGAGAGTGGTGCAGCGATTTGAATCATAATGTCAATGAAAGCGCGAAGTGAAAAATCAAGTTAAAAGTTGGTCTGAATACTTGACTGTATGCCCTCCAGTACATAGAGCTTGCAACAGCTCAGTGGGTAAGGTCTGCCGTTCGAACCCTGCATCTCGACTGTTCCTATCCGCTCTTGGGCAAATTAGAAGTATCTCAGCCTTCATGGTTCTTTCGGGTAACATAGCAGCTAGCCAACGAAAAGATTTTACAGCTGAAGGATTTATTAGTCCGGGTTGTTGAAAAGTGTCAACAAAGGATTTAAAAAACCATACCGTTGATGAACCGGGACGAAACCGCGGAGACTAATCCACGAAAAAAGAAACGAGGCATTCAGAAAAGTGCGAAAAGAAAAGTTTCGTCACCACTACCTCACTTTAGTAGTGCAGATAAGAAAGCAAAATAAGAAAAAAAGGATCTCACCGAAAAAAACGACCGACTGTTAGCTAATACGGCCACACATAAGTCAACCAGTCGGAAAACACCACAAAGTTACTCAACGACAGCAATACGGCCTTCAGAAAACTATAACTACCAGGCGAAATTATCGGCCAAAAACGACTGTCAGCAACTCCAGTACTAAGCAATTCTATGGGTAACCGAAATTAGACGAGGACGTAAAGCCACCCCGCTTCACCGTTTTACTACATGGAACCCTAAAGAACGGTTTGATGAAAGACCGCTGGGTAGAGTTTGGTTATCCTATTTCTG